GCCATGTGGCAGGGATTTGCTAGCGTTATTCTCATGCTTGCTGCTGCTTGGGGCAGGGGTCAGTAGCTCTTTTTAACCAGTGACCTCAGAACGTTATTCTCTAGCAAAGGGCTGCATTCAAGACAGATAACACTGCACTTTGCACATTTCTTGAGACACTAAAAACAGTGTGTAGTTATCCTGGCATCCCTTATAGATTAGGCACAGCTTACACCAGACACGTGCTCATAACGGCATCTACACCAAGGAATTTGGCAGTAGAAAGATGCCATTTCAAAAGCATGCTGCTAGCAGACATTACTGCACTGGGAAACATTTTATAACCCTGGCCCAAAACTGCCATAATTAGAGGTATTCTCAGGCTGTGCGTTGCCATACTGAAACCAAAGGGAAGCAGCACTGTGAAGCTGGAGGAGGAAGGGTTGCTGCAGAAGAGTCTTCCTGGAGTTCTCTCTTCTTATCTTACTGCTTGACCTACCCTAAGAAATGGGCGTTGTGAATTAAGAGATAAAGTTGAAGAGAAGCAATAAAAGAAGTTCAGGTATCTGGGCTTTCTGTTACTCACCATAGTACCACAGCCACACCCAAAGTTTCAGCCTGGAAGCCCGGCTCGGAGGAGCCACGGCCCCACACACGGGCAGTGCAAGGTTTCAGTCAGGCTCTGATGAAGGGCAGGGTGCCGCAAGCAAACGGTCCTCCGCCATCCTCTCCTCTCTCTTTCATTTACATGGATTTTTAGTGATCTATTCATGATTCCTCCACTGTTATTCCTGTGTTGAGTCCTTTTGGTTTGTTTATTTTCCCCTTCTTTCTAGGCTGTCCCCAGCTCGCCTCTCTCGAGTGCCGTCGGAGAGTTTATACTAGTGCTAAATTATCGCAAAAATCTACACTACTCCTGTGGGATGTCTTCAAATACTGTCTGCTGTCTCTGTTGGCACGCCGTATTCATGTTTGCTGTGATAAAACAAACAGCAAGAGCACTACCACAGAATTCTCTAATTTGGGATTAAAATAATAGGTCAAAAATGATTTTAGGGGTGGATGAACTAGCTGCTTTCATGCTGAAAAATATCACAGTAATATCAAAACAGAGCTATGGATGTTGTCTAATTTAGTCCTTCAGATTAGGATCTTTTCTTTGTTCATGATTCCTCCTCATTGTTATTCATAGGCTTTCACAGTTCAGCCCCTGTTAGGACATCAGGCTGCAGGAGTGGGAAACAACAGAGCACTGCATAAGGCCAAATCGAGAGACCGAGTTCCTGCTCAGTCACTGTAGCAAAAATTCTTGCTCAGAACCTTATATTGCCAGCAAGACGCTGGAGCAGTTTGATTTTACACTTAAATGGAAATTCTTTGAAGTTTAGAAGAAACTAATCTGTAACTTGTTTCAGAAAGGCAATGAAAATGGGTCGTTAAACCTGGGTGTATCAAATTCCAATTAGCATTAGCATGGACAATATAATTAAAAGGTAAATTAGCCATAATAGCATAGACTAGAACACTTTTTACAGTAACTAACGGTCAATTGAAACCATGTACTTGGGTTTCTTGGGTTGTCAATGATAAGTTGAAAGGACAGAATAAGAGCCTGTATCCATTCATCTTTGGACAGTAATGTGTTCTGCAAAGTTAACCATGAAGAGCAGCAGTGTGCTGGCCAGCCGTCAGTGGAAGAGACTAAGCGGGATTAAGGAAAGCCAAAGAAAAGACTCTAGAGCTGAAAAGTTTGTGGATGAATTATGGATGTGGTGATACAGACGCTGTCTGTCCTACTCCAAGGTGCCAGCAGCAGTTTTGTGCTAATTGGAGAGGAGTTTGTTTGGGCTGCAGTGAGCAGCCTGGTATCAGACCTGACCTGGTGGCCTGCCTGCAAACTTAAGTTGTAATAATAAGAGAATCACGGTGATGTCTTAAATGCAAATGAAGGATGTGGTAGCCAGTAAAATTCAGAAATCCCAGGGTGTTCACTGCATAAGCAATAGAAAATGCTGGGAAAGTAAATATGTAATATACATAAATGTGGTAAAATGGCATAATTAGGATGATGACTTTTTGGAACTTTCCTCAGGGTGATATTTATTAACACCGGGCTGTCCTCTTCTGCCGAAGGGTAAATAATACTCCCAACAGAGGCACAGATAACAGGCTGCAACTGGTCTTGTCTTGCAGCATTTTGTGCATTGATGAAAGACAACCACCTTTGACTTTAATAACAAAGGAATGTTAACTTATGCCTTACTGTCTGGTGGGGTGAGCCTGTGGTTTCATAATTCGCTACTAGAATTTGGAGAGGTGAACGTGGTAGGGTAAGAGAGCGCGGACAACCGCCCTCCGCTCTCAACCCGATCTGTCCGTGCAGCACAGCCAAACGCTGTCAGTGGCCCATGCAGAGCTGCAGGATGTCCTCAGGCCCCTTCTTGTTGGACAACTTCAACGTTCCAAAGCGTTGGTTGTGTCCTGGACTGGTGGGGGTGTCTGTGGACCTGAAGACGAAGTGGCCTTATATTGGTTTATGCTGATTTTTAAAAAGACAAAAACAGCTGAGGCGCATTTGCAAGGGGGAAGCTTTTCTTGAACAGTCTCCTTTTGCTCTGCTTTTGCAGTGTGCAGACATAGGAATCCACCATTATGGCAGCTTTCCAGAGTATTAAAAATCATTTAGAATGTTATGCATTAAGAAAAGCCATTTTCAGATGATCAGCTCGCACAGCGTCAGACCTTCTTTTCCCTTGCTGTGTTTTTCACCATCTTAGCTTAATCTTCCTCTTCTATTAACTTTATATTGGCCAGCTGGGAACATGTACAGTTGAGAAAACAGTCAGCATCAACATAAAAAGGTTAATTAAAATGATTAACCTCACCAACAATTCCCTGATGGAAAAATCCTATAGAATTTAATAGAAAGTGATACATTTACTATGTAGTATTTAAACTGTCAGAGAAAATTCCTTAGCAGGGAGGTAATTCCCTATTAAATTCTATAACTTTTTAGAGTATTCTCCACAGAACCTTATTGGATTCATCTGTATTAAATTCTACAGCATTTGGCATAAATAATTCAATGCTAATAACTTCTAAAAAGAATTTTGTAGTGATGCAGGGATGTAGAGTTTGACATGAGGCTTTTCAGAAGCGGGAGGTTATTTTTTAGGAATGACCTACAGTGGTACAGCAGTGATGTTAGATGATTTCTAAGTCCAAAGAAAGGTAAAACAAAATTATGTTAAATCAACCTAACATGTAAGCAGGGCTGCCTTTCCAGTTCTGACTTAGGCTGAACTGATCCTGCCCACTGCGTAGCCAAAGTCCCTTGCTTACTGGAGCTGACAGGCAGAATTAGGGAAGTGCACACTCGAATGTGGGGTTTTATTTCTGTGATAGAAATGGAACTATGAAAATTCTATTAGGATCAGCTGAGAGTTTTGCTTGGTTTCTCTTTGTCTTTGCTCAGCTCACCTCCTTGAATGTAGTATGCTTCTCCCTATGGAGCGGGGGGGAGAGAGAGCGAAGCAATTGTTATTTGGAAGTGTCATGTGGATATAAAAGCTATAAAATGTTCAAGGTTTTAGTATACTTTGCACTTTTAAAATGTAAATGCTGGGGAAGATATCAAAATTGCTATGCAAGTCCTTTGTGAAATGTCTGCATAATGCTGCACTGTGTTACAGCTGCTGTTTGTATAGCATTTCTCTTGATAATTTTTCTCTGTCACTTAGCTCGTGGTCTTTGTAGCAGCTGTGATCTCCTAATGACTTTCCCTCTTATGCAGGTTCTATACTGTTATTTTTAAAGCCTGAAGTACAAAGTAATTTGGCACTTCACCATATATCCTTGGGGGAAACTGGTTCTGTTGTGTGTGATTTCTGGGACTTGCAAAAGATTTGAATAAATATAGTTTCTTCCACAACTTTGTAAACTCCAAACATTGATATATTTTTCAAAAATGTGTTTTTAAACTAAGAATATTTATGCTTGTGATGAAAAGGGGTTTAGCTTTTTCAGGAAGATTGTGGTTAGATGCATATGAAAAAAAAAGTATCTTGGAGGTGGTATCGCACATGAGTTTTAGTGATTGGGTTTGCAAGACAGAGTCTCTGAAATGTGTAACTCTAGGATAGTCTGGCCAAGGGGAATAGCTGCTTTTCCCTAGAGCCAGAGAAAAGACCCTCCATTGCCCCACTTCCATAGCCCTGTATTCTGTTGCTGGACAGCGTAAGTAAGGGGGGTGTTAAGAACTAAAAAAATCAGTGGGAATTAGGTATCTAATCTACAGCCTCAACTAGACAGAAATCTGCATCTCTAGCTTCATGAACACCTTGGCAAGCCTGGCCTCTTTCTGCTTCGTACATGTATATATATATGGGGATACAACCTTCTCTCTTTTTCACTATATGGTGGGCTGTTTATCAGTGTCCAAGCAGTGGTATTTAAAGCACTCGCTGTTATCTTCAGAGATCTATTTTATTTATGTTGTATAAAAGGCACCTCTCTGCAGAGAACTAACAAAAGGTCAGTGCCAGACTTAAATGTCAGAAACCCTGTTTTGAGAGGTTATAAGCAGATAAGTTGTCCAGCGGTCAAAGGCTTCTGTTGAAGTGGGGTTTGTGCTTCGTTCCTTGCACAGCACTGGCCACTCTTGCCTTTGGGGGACTCTGTCTTCCCTTCCCAAGAGGGGACAGAGTGGGGCATCGCAGGAGGTGCAGCCCAGAAGACGGAGGCACTGCTGGTCAGAGGGGCCAGTGGTCCTGCAGGGGGCCCAAAAGTGCATCTGTCACCAGGTCGGTGGAGGGGAGCATAACCGCACACCCGGGAGCAGCCAACACGGCTCAGGTTAAGCAGACCATGTCATACAGGACAATACTGAAGGACTTTGTGTTCAATCCAGCAATTAAGATACCGAGATTTTAAATGTGGTTTCTATAAGCTGTTGCAAAAGGAGATAAAGCTTAATTTTTTTGGACTGACGCATTTTCCATTCAAATAATTTTTATGCCTAGGAAGTGCAGCGCTGTACGGCTGACATGAACATCACTGCAGAGCATTCCAACCACCCCGACAACAAGCACAAGAACAGATACATCAACATCCTAGCCTGTAAGTGAGCACGGTGAATCAACCCCAAAAAGCACTCTCCTCTCACAGCATGCCTGTGTATGACTGGAAGAGGCCGGTGGCTTCAAGTGACATGATCGCACAGTAATTAATAAACCTGTGAAAGTGTGGCTGGGAGATCATTTCCCTGCTAAAGGCAGAGGATGTTTTCACTTCTCTGGGGCCAGGATTTCACTCCAGCTTTTGTTTTAAAATATTTTGCAGCTTGATGGTCCAAGTGTGGTTTTAGAAGTGTCAGTTTGGTATGAAATTTTGTGGAGGAATAACTGGGATAAATGGATGATCAGAGCTCTTCTGCCCGCTAATGTCTGAAAACGGGCCTAAGGGAAGCACACGGTGGAGCAAAGAGTTTTATTGATGATCCCTGGGATTCCCTTATAATCCCAAAGGTGCTAAATCTTCCAGAGTATATCTGCTGTATTTCAAACTGCTCCAGCTGTGTGTACGACTTGGACAAACAGTGATCTTTGTAGCACAGTGCGGGCTTTGCCTGTATTCCTCTGAGAACTGCAAATCTGGACGCTGCTCTAGAATGCAGATTATTGCAGGTCCAGGGTGGAAATGCAGTAACTTTTTCCATACCGTTCTCTGATGTGGAACGAATGGCAGATGCAGCAGTCGCTGTGGGTTAGGAATAAAGATGGAGAGCCGCTGATAAAAAGTTCACGATGTTCATAAACATTGCAATAAATCTTGAAAGTTTCTGATGGCGTAGGGAGGGAATGCATGTTTCTAACAGATTCTCAGAAGTAATCAAAGTGCCGGCTGAGGACCAGTTCCCAGACCTGTAAAAGACTTGCTGTGTGGCCTTGGGCAAGGGGATTCATTGTGGTTGTCCCAACTCTGATATTAGACATAGATGTCTGGTCCCTCTAGGCACAGAGAGACATAGCATTGGGGGAGAATTGGAGCAGGCCCTCCAGTCCTCCAGATTGCCCCTGGAGGAACCTTCCTCCCTCCGTTGGTGTTCAGGGAAGGCAACTGAAACCAGATTTTTCATGCTTAAAGTTAGCCCACGTGTCTCTGTGTTGGAAGCGCCAATCCACTGCCTAGGAGCAGGAGGAGGACAGTGATTTTTTTTCTGATTTAAGCCAAAGTCAAACGTTTGGGTGGAACAGAAAGAGGAGCTGAAGAGCATGATCTAAAGTCCATCGTCTTGGTGTGGTGGGGGTGGTGAAGGAGCGAGGGCATTCACTCAGCTCCCGGAGCCAGCAGAGCCGTCAGAGCCCAGCACCAAGGGGAGGATAAGGAGCCAGGCAACGGCAGCTTTGCTGCCTGCGGGAGCTGAGCCGGTGCCTCCGCGTGGCGTTACACGGCCCCGTGGGGTGCCCTGGCTCTTTGAATCACACTACACCCTGTGATGTGGGCGATCCTAGAGATCGTGCTCGGGGGACTCCAGTGTCCTTTAAAGAGAAGCTGTCCCAGCACGAACCACCTACTTTAAGGGATGTGAAGCCTGAGGGCCTCCTACCATGAGCAGATGACCAAGAACAGGTACTCCCACCTCCCCCTTGACTCCAATCCAAGGCCAGTTTCTTCCATGTATTAATAAAGGCTACTCTAGTACCTAGGAAATGGGATGTTTACCTGCAGTTCGGCACTATGGTTCCTTAATGCTTCTCTGCGCTGTTTTTTATCCTGCAGATGATCACAGCAGGGTGAAGCTAAGGCCTTTACCAGGAAAAGATTCGAAGCACAGTGACTACATTAATGCTAATTATGTCGATGTAAGTTGTTCGAATTGTTTTTTCTTCTCTAACTCTGAATCCTTCCACAAGGAGGAAGTGTTGTCACTTGTGAAGCAGTCTTGTTTCCCAACTTCACCTGATAATTTTGCTACAAATTCCTTGCTATTCTGAATGAGAAAGGCACCTTTCTTTGTTACCTTTAAAATATTAATATGTCTGCCGTGGTACTGCTTTCATCTCACTTGGCATTATGGTTTTCTTTGAAGGGTTACAACAAAGCAAAAGCCTACATTGCTACCCAGGGACCTTTAAAGTCTACCTTTGAAGATTTCTGGAGGATGATTTGGGAACAAAATACTGGAATCATTGTCATGATCACAAACCTTGTTGAAAAAGGAAGAGTAAGAGATTTTCTAGTTTGTTAGCAGTCGCTCCTTACCACCTCCCCGAATCACGTGGGCAGAATTTGTTTTTAAATGGTTTGGGATGATATATATTGATGTATAATATATGACTAACTTAACAGAGGGATACGTAGCTACCCATGATTTTACTTTTTTAAAAAGCTCTAAACACAAATAGAAAGCAGCAGCTCAAACCCGTAGCCAACCCACCCAACTATGTCTTTGTTCAGAGAAAATGTGATCAGTACTGGCCGACAGAGAACAGCGAGGAGTATGGCAACATAATCGTCACGCTGAAGAGCACAAATATTCACGCCTGCTACACTGTGCGCCGCTTCACCGTCAGGAACACGAAGATGAAAAAGGTGAGTAAAGCCTTCACTGTCTGCCTGCCGATGCCTTCTGGCTTGCGCAGGATGCAAGGCACACAGGAGCAACGCTCGGCGTTGGCACAGGCAACTTGGAGTAGCAGGTGGATGGGAAATAAGTAAGCAAAGCCAGGATTACAAGGGACCTGGTGAAAGGTTTAGCCTGTCTTTCTTTCTCTCAAGTTCACTGCTGCTTAGGTGTCACAGTTATTGCTGTTATTACGTGTTCCCACATGTATTTTTCCTTGAACTCTGTCTCCACCTAGCAGGAGGCAGAGCTGCAGATTTCTTCTGTTAGAGTCCAGCACTTTTTCAGCTGAGCAAGCCAGTGGGATTCGGTATCTTTCTATGCTTCTCTTCCCTAATCTTTCTCTTCTTTCTGCACACACTTTGCACACAGGGTCAGAAAGGAAACCCCAAAGGGCGGCAGAACGAGCGAACAGTTATTCAGTATCACTACACTCAGTGGCCTGACATGGGTGTGCCGGAGTACGCTCTGCCGGTGCTGACCTTCGTTAGGAGATCCTCCGCAGCCAGAACCCCAGACATGGGACCAGTGGTGGTGCACTGCAGGTATGATGGGTGTGATTAATTACTTCGTGGCAAGCATACCCAGTGCACAGCGTGAGCTTTTACATGCCAGCTAAGACAAACGCCGTAAATTATTAACACAGAAGGAGCGTGCCAGCCCCACGGAGCGCAGGCGTACATGAGCTTGCTTTGCCTACGTCTAAGACCGCTCCGATGCAAAAGCTTCCCAGCTGCATTAGCACAACCCTATGTCATGATACTGAGCGAGCGTTGCGCTGACGTGGTTGTGCAGTTCCTTGTTGGAAGCTTGTTCGTAGCCTGCCCATTCGGTGCGTGGGCAGGGCAGGATCACCTCTGCTGGCAACCAGCCATGTGAATAGATGGACACCTGGGCATGCGATTGCCACCGAACCACGCTCACATTCACCAGCACTTGCAGTCAACAGAGGATTTCCCTTAAATGAGTTAAGGGATGTGGTCTTCATCGCTGTGTGTGAGGGGGCTGTACAGCACCATCACAAAGAGGAAAGGAGGATGGGTTTAGAGCTCCTTCCTGAGCAGAAATTGAGAAGCTCTGAAGAGTTCCGCTCTCCCCCCTATCTGTTGGTTCCGGGACCGCCCTCCTCCCCTTCAAGGAGTCCTGCTCCTCAGGATTAGCCCTTCTTATGCCTTTCCATAGTGCGGTACCACTTGCATTTCCAGAGCAGGATTACAGCTCCACTGTGAAGCGTAAGCCTTACCTCAAGGCTGAAGCCAACCAGGGCAGGCAGCCCCACAGCCTGGAGGAACCTCAGTGGTCTGGGATAGCAGTAGTTTGGCATAGGGTGGATCTCTGCATGGCTTCTTCTAGCCAACACCAGTAACAACAGCAATGGAGACAGGATGGCCAAGTATCAGATCATGAAATATATACCTAGTAAAATTCCCAGAAACCCAAAACAATTTGTTTAGAAGCTTTCATGGTTGGGGCTAGCAGGGAAATGAAAGTCTGTGAACAGGAGTATTTGATTGGTTCTGTTCTGCTGTTGTGAACATTTACTTCGGTCCAGCTGCATTACCTGGGTTTCTCTTATGTCTTCTCTAGTGCTGGTGTTGGCAGAACTGGTACCTACATTGTGATAGACAGTATGCTGCAACAGATAAAAGACAAAAGCACAGTTAATGTCCTGGGTTTCCTGAAACATATCAGGACACAGCGCAACTACCTCGTCCAGACAGAGGTAAAGATTGTGGTGGGGTTGAATTTAAAGCCGTGTTCACTTTTATGTTGTAATCAAAAAGAAAATGGATTTTTCAGTTATATCCCTGTAAAAACTGAATATATCACTAGGCGGTTTTTGCAATGGAATGTCTCTTTTTCTAGACCAGAAACTTCAGATATTGCTTTTGACTTATCCAGTTGTACATGCTACACTTACAAATGTTTATTCTGGACTTGGCAGTGTTTGCATGGGTGGCTTGTTCTGCACACCCTTTCCTTTAGTGTGCTCTACCCCTCAGTTAAAGCCAGCTGTTTAGTTTATTCCAAGCGCCTACGTGACATGCGGTTGTTTTTCTAGGAGCAGTACATTTTTATTCATGATGCCTTGTTGGAAGCCATCCTTGGGAAGGAGACTGAAGTATCTGCAAACCAACTGCATAGTTATGTTAACAGCATCCTCATACCTGGCATAGGAGGGAAGACACGACTAGAAAAACAGTTCAAGGTAAGGCTTATCACTGCCATCCAGAGGGACTTAATTTTCCTGCTCTCTTTTGCATGGCCTGTCTTCATGTCGGTTGTCACAGATAAGGAACCAAACGAGAACACTTGATTAGCACAGCACAGCATCTTGAGAAGTTTAGTCCTCAACAGTCTCAGCTACGCTGCTGGAAATCAGTACTAACACTCTTGAAGTCAAGAGGTGAGAAGAGGGACACGGACACTGGTTTGGAGCGGGCTGCTGGTCTCCCTCTTCCCACGGGGGCTCAGATGTTCCTGAGTCTGCAGTTAGCGTGGCTGGAAGTCTTCCTCCAAACTGTAGCTCTCATGCATATATCTAGAGAAAGACAAGAAATTAGGTTCTTAGCGCCACCTACTATTTCAGCACTGGATGAAGAATTAAAAATGTTTTAAGACCAGGAAAAACAATATGCCTTTCTCATTGCTAACAACTATGCTTGCAGCTTTTCCCTGCTATGTCATAGTTGCTTTTATCTTGGCCAAAGTAAATGGTTTTTTGCCAAGATCTCCTATTTGAAACCTAAAATTTTCTGACTGCATTTTATTTGAATGCATTTAAAAATATTTTTTGTGAGACTATGTATCATAGGAAGATTATACGTGACATCTGTTTGCACACCTAAACTCACTCAGTTAATAACTACCTAAGGAACTGCAACTGTTAAATTATGCCAGGTGCCAAGCCATTCAAAAAATGAACAGGCTCTTCTCTGAATTCACTTGTAGAAATCTCAGTACTTCTCCATCAGTCAAGACATTCCAGATGCTTAATTACTAAATTAAAGAAACAAGCGCAAGCGCACACACACAAGATGCAGAAGAAAAGATTTCTTATTAAAAAAAAGTTGTTGCACTTTTACAAACAATACTAAATTATATGTATAAAGATGTTTTCTGATGACTTGTGGCAAAATTTCAAAATCTTAAGTGCCATTTTCAGAAATTACTTTCTCTGCCAACATTGCACAGGTATTTAGAAACCCCATAACTCCTAATGGGGCGTATGCCAGTGCATAGATGAGTTGAGTGCTATCTTGTTTAGAGTGCATTTGAAACTGGGACGTGACCAGCAGCAATTATTAAAATCTTTCTCACATTTCTGCTGCTACCACAGAGCCAGCAGAAAATAACTTGTGCTCAGGCCCTGGTATGGTAGCTTACATTCAACCATCTCAGAGTAAAATTACGCTGGGTAACGAGTTGCTAGTGCAGGAGATGAAAAAGCCACCTTTACCCTCTTTGCTCTGGCAGAGATTCCCCCGTACACTGGGGGAACATTCAAATACAGATCTGCCTCCTTGGCTTTTCTTTGTGCCTCATAAGCAGCCCAGAATGAACTTGGCAGAGCAGAGTACGTAACCCACGGCCTTGGATCTCAGATGCTGGCGTGGTGGGTTCCCCAAAGGCCTAGCAGAAAAAGACGTGCTGCAGGAACGATCTGGCCTTTATTTTAGAAGAAGATATAAAAGTTTAGTTGTTTCATATTGCTAGCCTTTCTTCCTTGAGACCTGCTTCTGACTGAACATATCTGCAAGTCTTTGAACTACGTTCTCAAAGATAAGTAAAAGGAGTGTTCTGTGAAAATACATTTTGATGAAACTTCATTTTCGGGATGTTTTGAAGCTGAGAGCTGCAGAGATCTCTTTATCCATTAAACATGTTGTATGAAAAGGATGATTTCCATTGGCATCTTGAGTACTTTAAACAAGTTTAACAATGCAGCTTGTTCTTCTACCGATGCATCTTCGCAGGATTTGGCAAAGAAAAACCTCCTCTCTTCATTTAAAGCGCTGTGAGGACTGACTTACTACTTTATTCTCTTTCAGCTGGTTACACAGTGTAATGCAAAATACGTGGAATGCTTCAGTGCTCAGAAAGACTGCAACAAAGAGAAGAACAGGAACTCATCAGTCGTGCCGTGTAAGATCACATCTTCGGCTTGATTATTGCCTAGCATAACTTTTTGTACTGAATTCTCCCGGTGCAATGCATGAAAAGGCATAGCCACTAGGAAGGAGAAATGTAATCTTTTGTTCAGACCAAGCTGTCTTGTCTTCCAGAATTACCCTGATGAAAATGAACAAAAGAAAATAGTTACAGTGTCAGCCAGATATACTGTCCAAGTGAAATGTTAATTTGAAGTGCTTAAGATTTGAATAATTAGGTAGGGGATAAATCTATGGCATACTGAGAGAATTACTTTGATATTGCTCCCTGCTCAGGTGAGATCTCCCCGTGTGATTGGCACAAGTTGTTTTGTCATTCAGCAACTACGCTCAGTGTCTGCGTCTGAGCCTTCCCCAGATTTGAGGGTAGTTAGTGCCCGAGGACACAGTTTCACAGTCATTAATATGGAATCTGTGCGTGATTGCCAGGCAATGTGAATTTGCACCAGACCAGGCATGGGCACAACGTCATTCCCATCGCATCACCCAGAGCGCAGGGCATACAGGACAGATGATAGCCAAGCTCGCGCAAAGTCATAACGGCACAGATGTGATCCGTCATGAAGTTTGTTAATAAAAAGGGAAGTCATCAGGCTATGTCTTAAAAACAAATGTGAACGGGGCAGAAGTAGTCTACACGACTTTGCGCTTTGCGTCACGTAGCTGCAGTGATTTCAGTTTGGCGCTTGGGGCCCATCAGTCGGTCTGAGGATGTTGTTGAACCCAGCCCTCAACCACGGAGAAGCGTAGATCTGCTGAAGACCACGCACGCGCCTCTGGGCGGTTACCCGTTCGGGAGGGGGTTTGGCTCTGGAGGTTCTCTCACCCTCCAGCTGGGAGGAGTGAGCGATGGTAGCGCTGCGGAGTGGTAGGAAAAACAAAATAAATCAGCTGGGTTTGTGTGCTGCTGGAGACAAATGGAACACTACAGTCAAGAATTACCTGAAATCCCCTGTTATCACTGCATATACTGTTATTTGGTAATTCAGCCTGCTGTGAAAATCTTTGCTATAGTAAAATTTGATTCCTGAAATTACTTTGTCCTTGTGGGAATATTGTGCAACATTCTCTTTTATATCCTGTGTTAGCAGGCAATGTTTTAACGCAGTTAAAGTGCTGGCCTGCTCCTGCGGGAGATGGGAGCTGCACAGTGTTTGGTTTGTTAAAGTCTCAGAAATTCTTATGTTCTGCATTGTGCCATGACCAGACTTTGATTTTTTTTTTTTATTTTTTTTTTCTCCTCTTCCTCTGTTTTTTTTTTTAATCTTATAGCTGAGCGTGCTAGAGTGGGCTTGGCACCGCTGCCTGGAATGAAGGGAACAGATTACATTAATGCCTCTTATATCATGGTGAGGAAGCCAACACCTAATTACAAAGTAAAATCAATTCTAAGGTGCTAAATACCAGATGCCTATAATTGTCTTAATTCTGTATGTAATGGCTGTGTATTAACAGATGAGCTCTTAACACCTTCCCCATAATGTAAAGCTATTAACTGTGTTTTATTAAAGATTGTTGCCTAAAAAAATTAAATACAACATGCATTTAGATGGAATGTGTATTTCCATGCGATACAGTCAAATAAATACTGGGATTTAGAGTAAATGAAAACAACAGGGACTCTGCAGAATGGAAATGGAGTTATAAAATTATGGTCTGTGTGAAAATATTGTGGAATAAAATGAAATAGGGTCATTATGTGTCCCCAAAGATGAAATTAATGCTTTAAAAGTATTGAAGGCAGTAAGTAACTGTGTGGTTTGTTTCGCTGCAAAAGGGCTACTACAGGAGTAATGAGTTCATCATAACCCAACATCCACTGCCACATACGACTAAAGATTTCTGGCGAATGATCTGGGATCACAATGCACAGATCATCGTCATGCTGCCGGACAACCAGAGCCTGGTGAGTGAAACGCGTCCCTCCCTGCGCGGTACCGCAGTCACTTAGCCCAGCTGGACACCAGCGTAGGGTCGCTTCATTGCACGCTATGGCTATTTTCTCGTTGAAAGCAAAGCCAATGTTTGAGCCACCTTCTCAAACTTTGCCTTAAGCTTGTTACAAAAAGACAAGTTCCGAGATGTGGGGCATGTGTGTTTTGCTCTCCCCTTCTGCCCTCACCCCTGGGAAAGACATCCTGAGCTGGATGGCCCACAGTGCTCGCAGGCAGCACGCCGGTGATGACGACCTCTGCAAAGCTCCTGAGGGCCACCTGGCTGGTGGGGTGCAGGGCACTGAGGTTACTGGGTGGCCAGGGCCATGGGTAAGGACCTTGAGAGGAGCAGAAAGACGAAGCAGGGACAGTAGGATAGTTGCTTGTTTGCCCAGTGGACTTAAGGCTCAGGCCACGGAAGACTACCACTGTGGAAGGCTACAAATGCTATTTTTGATGGAAGTAAAAAGCAAACATGTATGTTAATTTAAGTGGAAATAATGAGACAGAGAGAGAAGGAGACACAGGTGAAGTGCTAATCACTACTTCCAGATTTACTAGCACGTCTCAAGAGGGTGCGTTGGAAAGGATTAAGAACTAAACGATTCGGTTTTTCATGCACGCATCACTGAGGTGAATAGACGATTGTAGTCTGAGAGCGGGAGAGAAACCGCCTTCATTACAGCAGGAAAATAGCAATCATGAGGGGCTACTAAAGAGGCAGCAGTCGATACGCTCCCTGTGCACGGCGCAATGAAAGAGATGGCAGGCACTGCAAGGCAAAGAGCGTTCAGAGAAATCCGATCGAATCAGAAGGCACTAATGAAATGAAAGTGTGCCAGGTGGAAATGAAGAGGCTGATCTTGTCCTTACAAGTACATGAAACAGCCCAGCAGAACAATAGTGATTAAAGGGTAAAGGAGGAACGCTGGACTCGGCAAGGATGCCTGGTCCCTGCTTTCACCTTCACCGTTCCCAGGGTGGAGGTTGGCCAGCAGGGCAGTAGCATCTGTGCATGGGCTCAGTGTTTGGTGTGGGAGGTTCTTCTCCCCCTCTACTCTGCCCTGGTGAGAAGTCACCTGGGGTACTGTGTCCAGTTCTAGGCTCCCCGGTTCAAGAAAGATGAGGAACTCCTAGAGAGAGTTCAACAAGGATGATGGGGGGACTGGAGCATCTCCCCTATGAGGAAAGGCTGAGGGAGCTGGGCTTGTTCAGCCTGAAGAAGAGAAGACTGAGAGGGGATCTAATCAACATGTACAAATATCTTAAGGGTGGATGTCACGAGGATGGAGCCAGACTCTTCTCAGTGGTGCCCAGCGACAGGACAAGGGACAATGGGCACAAACTGAAACATATGAGGTTTCAGTTGAATATGAGGAAAAACTTCTTTACTTTGAGGATGACGGAGCACTGGAATGGGCTGCCCAGGGGGGTTGTGGAGTCTCCTTCTCTGGAGATTAATTCAAAGCCCGCCTGGATGATGTCCTGTGCAACCTGCTCTGGGTGAACCTGCTTTAGCAGGAAGGTTGGACTGGATGATTTCCAGAGGTCCCTTCCAACCCTTGCCATTCTGTGATTCTGTGGGTTGTTGGCTGGCAAGGAGGAGTGGCCCAGGACTGAGACTGTGTCGAGGTGCTGAGTGTGTAACGCCAAAGAACGAGATGATAAAGCACATTACTGCTGCACAAGGACGTCTCACTTGGCGGGGCAGCTCACTTCCCTGGCGTTCAGCAATATTACACTGCTTGCTGGCGTCTCTGCATACTGAGGGCAGAATTTTCAATGCTCTCAGAGGACTTAGGACCCTAAATCCCATTTTCCAAATAAACATTTAAGGCCCAAATCTCACCAGCATCTTGCACATCATGCACATCAAGGCTCCAGGCCCACAGAAATAAGCCTGGTTTTAGAGACATGCTCATGGCCGCAGCGGGATGAAGTGGGCTCATGGCTCATGTTTTCTCTTGAGTAAAACACAGGTTGTTCAGAGACACAGGCGTGCAGTGCCGTGCATGCTGACGGTGTGTGCTTCTGTGCTTAAGCTGCAGGGACAGTAGATCCCTGAAGCCAGGAGGAAAAACAAGCTTTGCATGTATGTGATGACAGAGCCTAATTTCTTTTCTCTGCAGTGAATTAGGAATGCACGGTTATTTTTTAAAGAATAGCTTTAACAGTATTTATTTTAACTACACCCGGTCAGTTAGGCCTACTTCGGCACTGAGCTTCTTCCGCCATTTAGAGTCTCACTGAGATCTTTTTTAGCGTCCCTTCAATAGAGGAGTTTTGCTAGAGAATTTCCATTAAGTTAAGCCAGTGGTTTTTTCAAGGCCAAGAATATTTGGGTTTCTTCCTTCCTCCTCAGTCCTCCTCTCGCTCCTAAAAATTCAACCCCTACATAAGTATCCATCAGTCTTCTACCTAGACCTGATCCACAGACCTTTTACCGATACCCTTGAGTTTTGGATTAGACCACAATAAATACAAATTAAAAATAATAAGCAATTAATTTTTAAAGGTCAATGAGTTTTTTTCTAAACAGATATCCAACTTTCCTGCAAAATTGTGTAGGTAATAAAGCCTGGGATACAATACAAAGGTTAAGTATGAGTGAGTAAAGATAACCATTTCCCTATGAAACCAATTAAAAAGCAGACATTACCTGTTTGGCCACACAAAGGAAGAATCTCCCAGTCTTACTGCCTACAGTAAATCTGGTTTAGACAGAAATGGTTTTTAAAGGTCAGCTCCTGATCATCTCTTTATCAAACCAATTTTTTGATCCACTGGATTTTTCAGTTGCACACAAGGTATCTGAAAGGCTGCAGTAGTGTCTTGTCTCGTTCCTCCAGGCAGAAGATGAGTTTGTGTACTGGCCAAGTCGCGAGGAATCCATGAACTGTGAGGCCTTTACTGTGACCCTTATCAGCAAAGACAGACTGTGCCTCTCTAACGAAGAGCAAATTATCATCCATGACTTTATCCTTGAAGCTACCCAGGTAAAACTCAACTCCAAATGTGGGTCTTGGCTCTTCCCCAAAATGTTATTGATGTCATTTAAATATGGAAGAAGAAATGTTCAGAAACACTTTCAAAAAGGATTTGCTTGTAAATGCATGTGCATGCACGTTGACCACAGGGGAAAGGTGTTCTTGTTGGCTCTTTTTCCCTCTCACATCTTCTACTTCCAGGTCTATTCCTCTAGCTAGTGAGCCTGTAGTATTAATTGTTGGTCTTATTTGAAAGTGAAGACATTGGGTTTTCATTTTGAAATCATACAAGTAGGTTGAATTATACATTGTAAAGTACACCAAGATTCATTGTCCTATTTCTGCTTATAAAATTCAGCATTTATCATTTGTTTGGGGGTCTTAATTAAGGGGGTTTACTTAAGCACATTTCTTTAGAGCTATAAACCTGCCTCTAGTTTGCTGTCAGGACTGCAGCTGGACTTTGCTGCAAAACATTAGTTTGCAAGACCTTTTAAATTTTAATTCCTTGGTTGCTCTTCTCTTGTTTGACTTTTGAGCTGTAAGGGCTCTGAGAGAAGGTTTATATGGATCCAAGCCCTGAGCTCAAATACAGAATCTATCAGTTAAACATTTTGTTAAAGTTGCATTGGTTTAGCCCATTCACTGTTACAGAGATGCTAGAGCTGTGCGTCCATCTTCTTCGTTCTATATAAGCTCTTTGGAAGAAGAAGGTTATCTCTTCAGTTTGTAGTGAGGCTTTTCCCTCTTTCTACCTGGAGCGGATGAATGTGAAACTACAGGAGCTAATGCCCAGGCTGGTTTTTCATTGCAGGATGACTACGTTCTGGAAGTCCGCCACTTTCAGTGTCCTAAATGGCCAAACCCAGATGCTCCCATAAGCAGTACCTTTGAACTTATCAATGTAATCAAGGAAGAGGCCTTAACAAGGGATGGCCCCACCATAGTTCATGATGAGTATGTCATCTCTTTTCTCCCATTTATGTGCAGGTTGTACAAGGAGTTACTCAGCTACTGGACACTTGCTAGGATTGACGTCCATTCTTACATGGAGTGGATGGGGTTTAGTGGTCTAGGGAACAGAATCAGAGTATTTAAACTTCCAGGGATGAGGTTTCCGTTGGCATCTGAGGCCAAATACATTTTGCTTAGTGTCATTTTTATGTTGGTTGTAGTCTTAGGTGGACTCAGAAAGTGAAGCTGTCTTTGCTTTGTAATCATTTTGGGTTCTTCTGCACCTGGAATTATCCCAAACAAATCCTGCAACCTGTTTCAGAACCCATCAGAGCCCTGGTTTAGATAAGGCTCTGAGCAGCCCAATATGGGCTTATGGAAACCAGTTTTAAAACAGCCCTGAGCTCCTGTCTAACAGCTCAGGTTTAATGTGCCATGTAAGACAGAACAAGCTCAGCTCAGCTGTGTCTCGGGATGAGCAGCAGAAGTATCTTGTGACAAGGGCCCAGGTTTTCTGAGAGCAGATTTATTTTTCCTCCTTCTGCTTCCCCAGAAACACTCCAAGGGGCCCATATGGTGCCAAGTGGGAGGGAGGGAGCCCGCTAAGGCAGGGCCAGCACACCCCAGCACTTGCCTCTCTTGTAGTGCAGTGGTGAGCATTGTCTTGCCAGCTAGGCTTGAATGCCCAATTATAAAGGGTGCTAAATATTGTATTGCATGTTGTTCCTTTGCACGAAGTTCGCATATTACTGCTTTGCTGCAAAATACCATTATAGTGAAGCTGGAGCCTGGGTCTAACGGGATCTCTGTGGAGGGACTGTTTCCGGGCAAGCAGAGCGCTTCCCAGAGTCGTTCTGCTGTAAAAATCCCAAGGAAGCCCAATTTCTGACACTGCTTGAGTTGCCCCTAGAGCGAACACCAAGCCAGCATAAACGACTGCTGTACCTGCAACCCCCCCTGCACTCGAGCCTGTTAGACCTTTTGTCATTGCTACAAAACAGTGGGAAAGTCTGGGAAATCTCCACCTTTTGTGCAAAACCACTATTCCCATACTCTGGTCTTTCAGTGGTCAGATCGGCCTTTGGGCTGACGTACGATCTGCCGGTGCCGAAGGAGCTTTCGCTTCACATCGGTGTGTTGCAGCTGCAACAGGTTTTTCCCAACAGACCCCTGCAAATGGTGCCTTGGGCTGCAGCGAGTAGTTTTTCTCCCACCGTCTCCTGTCTTGCTAATGCACAGTGTGAGCTCTGTTGCCTTTTGCCAGCACTGATTAATTCCAGTTTTAATATTCATGCTTTGGGTAGTCTGAAGTGAGGTTTTGCTACTCTTGCAGTATTTAAGATTATGTTTTACAAAATTAGAACCATTATTGATTTGGGCATTTCATGCTAGACCAAAAAAAAAAAAAAAAAAAGAAAATCAAAATCGCATTCCTAACAGTGCTGAGTCATTCTTTCTGCAAATTGCTTTTTTGGTTTATTTGTCATATTCAATGATTTTATTTTTATGCCTAATCCATAATGTGGATTCTGCTTTTCACTGGAGCCTAAGCAAATGTAGCTGAAAATGAAAATTTCCCTTTACTACGTGCAACAACTATATCACATAATCCACTAATAATTACAACTACAGATTAATTCCAAATATATGAATTTGCAGATACTAAATGCATGTGGTATTTCGGAAGTTCATGGTGGGATGAACTCGATAACAACATTTCAAAGAAGTTCAGAAATTCCAACTTAAGACAGTTGTCAAGATTTTTAAATACAACTGCCTATATGTAGGCAACTAGATCAAGATTTGCTGCATAATTTTCCGAGAGAAAAGCCTTCAGATCGTGGGGAGCTGGAGGTTACCAGCCCAAGTAAAAATGAGGCCATTAAACCCCCAGAGGCATTTAGTTGTGTCCCATCAGGCACAAGCATTGGCCCCTTGGTCCATTATCCCTGTGGATGATCAGTCACAGCCATCTCGACAGTTCTCCAGAAGCTCTGCTGCTTCTTCTATAGATTTTTCATCCAATATAGCAGATCTATGGTGATCTGATTTCTGTTTCCCATTTCTAGGCAAATTGAGTTTGCAAAAATCATACAAAATTAAGTCAGCATATGTCTTGATTTCCACAGGAATGTTGTAAAAAATCCTAGTGGTAATCTTATGATACCAGATGGCATTGCAGCACTTGCCGATTATTTAAGTTTCCGTGCACAGCTCTCCAAACGGGTTACAGAGCAAGTCAGCACCAATGTCCCCTTTTACAGGTGGGGACATTTAGACACAGACTGTCTCAAAGTCACAGAGCAAACCCATTGCAAGGCCAGGACAGAATTGCAGTTCTTCTGTGTTCTGGGAGAGCAGGGGACAGCTGAGGCTCCTCAGAAGCAGTCATGAGCCCCCATTGCTTAGGGACCCTCTGTCCCATGCCCCACAACTGCACACGTGATTCAAGTGCACCCACAGATGTAGCAGCAGTAAGATTTCTACCTGGCCAGTATCTCAAGGACACATTGATTTGTGCTCCTGACGAATAACCGCTGCTCAGGTTCTTATTAAATGACAGCACAGCTAAACTCTTCAGAATCCGTAATGTCCCTGGGGTGCCCAGCTCGGGGATGTTGCCTTTTGCCGATGAATCAGACCTAAGGAAGACTTTGAGATGTGTCCCATTTACTCGTGAGCACCTCATATCCGTGTTAGTTTTCTGTAATTGTCAGATGTGGAGGAAGAGGCAAAGTCTCATTTCTTTCTAATCGTTTATGTTTTGCTTGAGCTCCCACTAATGAATTTAAAATACGCTCAGCTATAATGCAGATGCGTTCAGTACATGTGGCATGTGAGAACTGATTTCAATGTTATACTTTCCAGGCTGGGTACTTTTAAATAGCTCACATTCTTCTGCTGATTGTATTGAGTACTATGGATATCCTGAGGTGGCTGGGGTACCATCAGATTTCTTCTATAAATTAAAATGACTAAAAATTAGCCATATAAAACAAGCATTTAATAGATACAAAGATGAACTACAGTAATTGAATAAGACTATAGCAACATTTTGGTGCCTCTGTGTTTGTGCCCAAGTATGTTTCTGCGTATCTTACCATTTTGGTGTGCTTTTTCAGGTATGGAGCTGTGTCAGCGGGAACGCTATGTGCCCTTACCACCCTGTCCCAGCAGCTGGAGAATGAAAATGCTGTCGATGTTTTCCAGGTGGCAAAGATGATAAATCTTATGCGGCCTGGAGTATTTACAGACATTGTAAGTCTTTATAAACAGGATATAAATGGATAGTTTACAAGGTTTTCATCTGAGACCAAAAGCATGAACTGAACACACATTCTGTATGTTATCAAGCCCTACTGTATCTGCTACCATAGAGAATTTGCATTTGGGGTTTTTTTATATAGCTGTCATTTTTTATAAGCCCCAAACCCACACTGTAAGTCTCTGATTTGCAGTTAAGCTTATTTCTCATGCAGTTAGGGGGCCACTGCCCAGGCAGCCCTAGCAGAGAAGGACCCTTCAGCTTGCCATTAACCCCCTGCCAGCCCTGTGAGCTAAGCTGTGCTATTTAAACCTGGCACGTTGTGACTTGAAGGGGATGGAGCAGGGCAGGCAGAGCTGCAGGGAGGTGAAGCTTCAGCAGAGGGGCCCTTCGCTCAGGGTGCAGTGAGAGCAGCGTCCTTGTCTCAGTGCTGCTCCAAGGGAACAACCTGGGGCTGAGCTGTGGGCGCAGGTATTGTCCTGCCCTCCTGTAGGGTTTAATTAATATATAAGGAATAATCTAATCTACCCAAACCTGGCATTTTGGGTTGGCAAGGTTAAACTAGATTAACAGAGGTAATTGCTCTCTCTGTCTTTTTCTTTGCTGTATGTATGCTTCTAGTAATGAATATCTGTGACCTTCCCTGGAAATGCCAAATTTAAGTGCCACTCGCTTATGCACACTGAGAGGATTGAAATAACTTTTCTTTTCTTTTCCAGGAACAGTACCAGTTCCTTTATAAGGCAATGCTAAGCTTGGTCAGCACTAAGGAAAGTGGAAACGGTGCCATGACACTGGACAAAAATGGTGCTGTGATGGCCAGTGACGAATCCGATCCCGCAGAAAGCATGGAGTCTCTTGTCTAATTGGAAACCTGAAAAGGCACTTAATTTGTAGAACTTCTGAAGACTGAGTGAACTTTTTTGAGGCCTTTTTTGCCAGACTCTAGGTTATACAATAACCCAATTACTTTTTTACACTGATAAAAGTTTTGATATTTATTTTTTGCCATTTTATGTCTTAATGGTATCCTACTGAGCATTTGCACCTCTGTTTATTTCACACAGTGAAACGCAATTTTATCTAGTTTGCACTATATGATCAGTGTTACTGCCTATAATATTCTAATACAAGACAAGCCCTGATGTGACATTCCATGACAACATACGCTTTTTTTGTTTCGTTTAAATGCAGTGAAGTTTTGCTAACTACAGTGACCCTCAAATCTTAAACCTTGAATGCTAGGCCAGATGGATCCTTTCTACGACAGATACTTTACCCCTTCGTACCATATTTATTATTTTAAGGATCATGTCACCGTTTTGGTAACGGTACTCTGCATTCCAGGGGAGAGGATGAGCAGCGTTCATCCTTTCCTGACACAACGTGGCAGGTGATGATTAGCCACAGTGAAGGTGTAATAGCCTTGTGGAGCTGAAACAATTATTTCTGTATTGTTTCAAATTGCTGTTTTGTATGCTTACAGGCCTAAGACTTTCTTCACATGGGATACATAAATTACATACAACATAATTATAAATTAGATGCAATTCATATGTGGGACGCAGTGATAGATTTTGAATTTACAATTTCAAAGTTTCCCCATGTATTCAGAAAAAAGTCATTTTTCATTTTTAACCAGCCCTGTGATGGGAAAGTATTTTGGTTTTATTCTCATCAGAGCCAATACAGCAAGAAATCTATTACAGCCCAGAATCAGACCTGTTTTCAGATATATTGAAGGTAGCAATATTTTACATTACTAAGCTATTCAATATTTTAAACACATTAATTTCCTTACTATTTCTTGAATATGACCTCACACCTAATGGTATGTTACATGATGACAGGCGTTTCTTAATTTCATAACTGTTAGATGCCATTTTTACAGGTGTGTAATTTTCATACTTTAGTGCTAAAACATAAAGTACTGATCCATATTTACTGGTGAAGCAAACTAATAAAAAAAAAACTACCTATAAAGTTACATTCTCCCTCTTTTTTTTTTGCCAGACTAATTCTTTAGCACAAACCTAGCTTACTGTGTTTTCCCTCCCACACCAATAAAAGGGTTTCCCCCAGATTATATAAATAATTGAATTAGTGTTTGGAGGATTTAAGTATACATCCTCATTGGCTCCCTTTTCCTTTGTATTTGGTCACAATTTAACAAGGTCCATCCCTATTTAACAAAAGAAGTAAGCACATACTTAATTCTCCTGAAAATTAAAGCTAATCGTGTCCTTCATAGCTCGGCTGAGTAGGGAGGGGTGATTGAATCGGCCTTGAAAAGGAAATATGTCATTTCAACCATCCTGACGTTTGGTATGCAGTTAAAGGCACTATCCCTTATATATGGCATTACTTTCTTTGCTTTTAAATTTCAACTGCATGAAAGATGCATTGTAATTTTTCAGGACTTGTCAAACTGTTGCAGCGTATTTTTCATTTAAATGTAAATGAACCTTCATTTAAATGAACCTATTAATTTCTGCCGGTCCAGTCTTGCTGAATTATAGACATTGGGCAAGGCAAAACCCACTTCTTCTGTTGGAGGGGAGGGCAGGGAGGAAGCTTAGCTAAGAGGAAGGTTCTGTGCATTTTCACATGCAAGGAAGCTGAAAGCAAATGGCTTAAAATTGTCTGGAGAGAAGGTGTTTTCGTTCAGAACCTCACAAGGTGCAAGCCGATATGGCCTCATTGGGCAGAGGAGCCATGCAAACTGCTGTGTGCTAACATCTGGCCTTCTATTTTTAATAAGGGAAGGATTTCCTAGTATGGATGCTCTTGATTAATTCAACAGCAAAGTGTTTAAGAATTCATCAGCAACCTTTTACATAGTTACCTTTGACTTCTCAGTTTGTTGAATCCCTCCATACAAGTGATCCAAGTAACTGCTAATGCTGAACGGTGTAATACGTCCATGGGTTCAGTAAGGAAATCCCATGTCCAGCGCCAGCTAGTCCAAACAAAAAATGAGCAAAATGTGTCAAAAGATTGCTTGGTAGTTTGCATCCCCTTTGCACTGGGACGACCCAGCACCCAGGAGGGAGTCAGTTCATGTCTGGCAGGAGTTCAGGCTACAGCCCAGTAACAAGAATTCAGTGAATTTTTGAGTACTGCTGCCTGCAAGGGCTGGGAGGTTTTGCTGAGTGGCCTGCTGGCCAGTGTGCATCCTCATTAGAGGTGGGGGGGCTTCCCCTTACCGCCCCCCAGTAGTGATCCTGGCCTCAGGCAATTCCAGCTGGTAGCACAAAGGGACTCTGATGAGTTGGATCAGTTCAATCTGAAGTATTTAAGTTCCTGGGAAGGTGTAGGGAGAAGTTAAGAATTCAAACCCTGACAAGAGCTAAGTGACAGAAAGATTACTGCAGGCATCAAGAGGGTTGGATTTGTTCAGTACTTTTCAGCTGATTACTTTTCATTTCACTGGCGTGATGGAAGATAACTGTGGTTCGTGACACACTGCCTGAATATCCTTGGTTTAATCCCTTACCTTCTCACAAGTTTTAAAAATCAATGAAAGAAGGGTGTGGGGGTTGAACTTGGGGAGATGCTTTGGAAATCCATGCGTTTGCATTGGCATTTTCCCACACCTGAAATACTTGCTTGGGGTTTAATCCATGGGGAAATAATTTACACTGATGTTCTACGAGTTCTCCATGGATTTTTCTGTTAAGGGGGCTTGAGCTGTGTGTTTAATGCTGTGCTGACAGTCAGGTAGCCAATAGATGGTGATGGCGCGTTGGGCTTGGAGCGGACGAAGCTCGGAATTGCTTGCAAGGGACAGGACTGAGAGTGTGTAAAAGCCAAATTTCTCCTGCCGTAAGCAACTGCAGTTCTGCTCTCTTGCATGGATTTGCACCTCTTCCCCTGGGGCTGAGCGAGACTGGCGGCAGGAGTGAGCGTGTGCCCACAGGGCTCCGCCGAGATGCTCTCGTGAGCCGCTCCGGCCAAAGCCCCGCGCTGTGCATCGCAGCCTTGCTTTTGCCGCCCCAGCTTCCCCCCGCTGTAACCGCTTCTCGGCGTTCGGTCGGGAGGTCTTTTAAGCATCAGAAGTTCTCAGACAATGTGCAGGCCTGCAAATTAAGAGAACCTGAGTATATCCCATCGCTATAAAATGTGGTCTCAGCACCAGCCCTGAGAAATGAGGAAGTAAAGGACCGAAGTACACGTGCACGCGTGTGTGTACATTTAGAAAATGTTATTTCTCCACGTCTTGCATGTGTACTGCACCCACAGACCATGTGAAAGGCGTAAAAGACTTCTGTGGGTTGAGCCCATGAGAGCAGCCAAGCTTTCCAAGGGGGAATGCTTGGGAAGCTGCTGTGTCATCTTAGCATCTGAAATGGGTGACAGTCTCGGCCGAATGCCCCATCCTACAAACACTCCCGTACGCGGACTCGGCCATCGGTAGGCAGGTCTGGGAGAGCCGGCAGGACCGCGCAGGCGTGCAGGGCTGAGCACCGATTCTTCTGCAGGACCGAGGTCTAAAGAAGGTTCATTTTGAACAGCATTTGTCCTTAGTACTTCACAGCGTCTGTTTCCAAATATGAATTTAGGAACAGGAAAAAGAAAAATCCCGAACCCTTAAACCACGTCTTGTGTGTGACTCTTTCTGTACTGTGGGTCTGTTCTAGGTTAGTGGAATCATTTACAGGATCTGCAAAATTTCACTTGTTTTTCCAGTTTCTGACTGCTTGAACCCAGTGAAACATTGGAACATTAGGAGAAGAATCTTTATGACACAGCACAACTGCCTTCTTATTAATCTTTTTTTTAAGCTGATATATTTTATTTAAAAGCTAAAAATATAGATATCGATTCTACCAAAGATACATGCTACTAATTTTCAGCAAAACAAAACCAACTTAATTTAAAAAAAAATTAAAACGTACTTGTCTTAAAGATTTAGCAGTCGTTCTCAAATTCATGTCTTCTGACATCAGATCTTGTGTTCCGAAGTTTATGATCAAATGGTGCCAGTGAATTTTTATATGAAGGGAAAACGCCTATTTGTTAATCCACTGCATTGCTTTTCTTCTTTTTCTTTTTTTTTTTTTTTTTTTTTACAGATGTAATTCAACTCTTACTGTTACCCCTTTGCTCTTCTTCTCTTTGTTGCCATTCTAACAATGTGAGGCTGCATTGGCTTTACTTATCAAAGGAGAAGGAATGCAAAAATAAAGAGAGAGAAGGAACTGTAATGAAGAGATTTGGCCTCTACTTTGTCTTAGCTGTTAAACTGTTTTTAGTGGTTTTGTTAACTATTTGCAAAGGGAAGCATTTTCTACAGAGGATAATTAATTTCAAGAAAAATGTCTTGAGTTTTAAGAATAAACGTCTCCAAAAGAGGAGATAGTCGATTTTATACAATGTCACAACTCTCCAACATTTGGGGTAGTGACTTTTTTTGTTTTGTTAGAACATTTGAAACTAGAAAGCAGCCATTGTTTCTAAAGACCGAAGCATTCACGTGTACTCCTGTCTTCTTTTCCTTCATTTTTAAAATAGCAAAGTCATTAAAACTGTAAATATTTTGTTGCTTGGATAAGCATCTTCTGGGAACTTTGTATCTATGGTATATAATCATAGAATTTTATATTTTCATATAAAGCTAATTTTTTTCTAGTTTCACCTCCTTCCTAGTTCTGTGGTGGCTATGTGAATACATACCTTCTGTGTATCGAGGTAGTGAGACACCATCATCACACTCCAAAAAAGATTTCCACACGTCATTTCTTTGGGGCAGTGATTGTGAAAGTTGGATTTTTTTTTTGGATTCCATTGTCAGTGTGTGCAATAGGAATTAGACTTAGCCAGTCACTGGATACATTTGTCTCATTGATCCATTCAGGAAAAGAAA